CTGGTGGTCCCTGTACGATCTAGTTGATGATCGGGGGGTCTCGGACTGATCCGGTTAATGATCCGGCGGTCCCTGTCCGGTCCTATCAATTATCCGACAGTCCCTGCCCAATCCGCAACTGGTGATTCTTGCCTAGTCCGCACCCTGCGATTTCTACCCAGTCCGCACCCGACGATTCCTGCCCAGTCCACACCCGGCGATTCCTGCCCGGTCCGCACCCTGCGATTTCTACCCAGTTTGCACCCGACGATTCCTGCCCAGTCCACACCCGGCGATTCCTGCCCGGTCCGCACCCTGCGATTTCTACCCAGTCCGCACCCGACGATTCCTGCCCAGTCCACACCCGGCGATTCCTGCCCGGTCCGGTCGATGACCTGGTGATCCAGTTCCCATTTTTCAAATCATCTTTCAAAGTGAAGAGTTTTAAAAGAGTCATTGAGATGTTAACTAATAAGGAAAAAGTAAAGAATTAGTCAACCTAGCCGTTGAGACCAACCAGGATCGGTAGGTTTCAGTCCCAACTTTCATATACCCAGGATCAGGTAACCTACTTGGGTTGTTTCGGACAACGACTTAATTTTCGGTCTTCTGGCCGGTCCCAGTACTGGGTGAAAAATTTTGATGATATTTTTAAGATTTGAAATGGAAAATTGGAAAATGAAAACAGAAAATTGGAAAATTAAAACAAAATTGTAGAATGGAAAACAGAAAGAAAAACTGGAAAATGTCTAATCTTTGAAATGTAATAATTTGTGTTTTTTTTTGTTTTTCTTTTCTCCGTTTCCCCCCTTCTCATAACTTTTAATATAGCTTTATTGTGAATTTACAATGCACATGGTATGTAATTATATCAAATATGTATTTGATATATGTATTTGTGTTATGTACTTCGGTTTATTTTTATTACTTTTTCTTAAATTCTATAGAGGCAGCCGCTTAAGCTAAGTGGTTCGCTGTTTGCTAAGTGGTTCGCAGAGAAGAGGACGAAAGTTAGAACTTGTAATATTCCGATTTTTTATCAACCAAGTAAATTGTACTCCATGGAGGTCCAAGTTTACAGTAAATGATATTAAAACCAAGAAGTAATTTCCTAAAAAACTATGGATTTTTTTTTAAATAGGAGTAAAATGTTTTGAACTTCCAAAATAGAAATGTAATACTTTTATTCCTTAATTAATAGGAGTAATTACTCTCAAGTTTGAAAAATTAGAGCAATAATTACTCTCTAGTAATAATTGCTCATATTTAGAGCAATTTTCAAAAAACTATATCCCAACCCTGAAGTTAAACTTAGGACAACAAATTACGGAGTACTAGGATTGGGCAGCCATATCAATCATATACTCCGTAAAGAAATCAAGAAAAGTAAGCATACTCTGTTATGCAACAATAAAGAGATCAACTTAATTATTTATAATGAAGCTTAATTAGTGTTTAATCATTGCATGACATGAGAGAATCAGCAATCTCACTTGTCTTTTGCAAGCTGTTAAAGTGGGCCTAAAGACCCAAACAGCCTTCACATCCTCCCACCAAAGAATCTAGTGAAAAGGACTAATACAGAAGTTAGACTGATAACATACACACACCACAATGTAGATATTAACTTTAAATTTTGTTTATATCTTCCAGATCAATTCGATCTCTCATTTTGCGGTGCTTTTCACTTTTCACCTTTAAATGGTGGGTTTGCTTTAGTTTTGGAACACATGCAATCTATCATAAGAATTGCACTATCCCACCATCACAAATGAATAAACACATTCCCTCTACTACAAGATATATAAAAGCCACTTGGTAATGTAATAATGGACAAGCATATATTCGGACTAATTATATGGGACATGGGTGCTTGGCTTCTAATAATTATGACAATTATACTCTAATAAGCTCACTTTTACTTTTTAGGGATAAAGAATATTCTTCTTTTAAATAACACCAAGTACTCAAGAATCAAGATAGGTGGGAGAATTGGATTTCTTAAAGATCACTTCCTCCGTACCAAAATATAAGGACACTTTGATTTTAGAGTTATTTTTTAATGTATTTAAAGCAAAATGATTTACTAAACTGTTTGTGTTTCTTTGTTATGAAGCAGCGGTCGATCAATGCAATTTTCAACATGATTTTTACCATAGTTCATCCGAAAACAGTCTCTCTGTGCTTTGGTACAGGGATAAGGCTGCATACATCCGACCTCCGTTGCCTCAACTTAAGTGGAAGCCTTTGCGCCACTAGGGTAATGATGATGATGTATATGTACTTTACCAAATTGTCCCACAAAAGGGACAACCAACTATAATAGTAAATACTTTAACAAATAAGAGAAAAGAATGGTGAATTAATTAGTAAAATGATCGACTTAATAAGAAAATAAAGAGAAATTGTTTGGATTTTATTGCAAACTTGGCGAGGCAAAACTATATCTTAATATGTAAACTATAGAATAGAGTTTCATAATCTTTATTTAAATACTCCTTTTTGTCTCAATATTAGACGGAGGTCGCTAAACTGTCTATGCTTTCTTCACTTGTTTTAGAATACAGTAAAATGACTCACTAAATTGTTTGTGCTTCTTTATTATGATTTATGAAACAACAATCAGTTCATACAATTTTTGACGTGATTTTCATCCGGAAACAGCTTCATTACATGGGTAATCCGACCCTCCCCTACTTCACCGTAAGTGGGAGCCTTTGTGGCACTAGGGTAATGTTTAGAAATTAGGAGAGAGGCAGTAATTTTTATTGGGTTTTGAAATTGTTGAGGTTAATTATGTGAAGCTAAAGTCCCAAACAAATATCGGGTCTTGGTCTTTGAATTGATTAAGTGGAGAAATAATAGAAAGAAAGGGTAGACATGGGAGAACTTATATCCTCGAAAGTCGAAACTTGGCCTGGGATGATTAGATCGGCTCTAATAGCACACTGAGACTAAAGCACTAACTCTCACACTTAAGTAAATATCACTAATACACTAAGAGCCCGTTTGGTAGCACGAAAATCGGCTGTTTTGGCTGATTCTGCTGAAATTTATGAAATTCTGGCTGAAGTGGCTGTTTTGGCTGATTCTGCTGATTCAAGAAAAAACTATTTTAAAAATATATTTTATTAATAAATTATAGAAAAAATTACATGTAAAAATTGCTAAAATAGTCCTCTACAGTAACTTCAGCCAATACAGCCAGAAAAGTAACTCCAACCTTACTTTTTCTGCTTATTACACAATTCAGCACACAAAAGTAAAAGTTACGTGTTTGGTGAAAAAGCTGGCTGATAAGCCTGATAAGCCGAAAAAAGAGGTCTCCAAACGGGCTCTAAATACCACTAATATTTTCGTACTTCAACAAGCATTTATGCGCGCCGGAATGAATCCAAGACTAGATCTAACTAGACTTGAATAGACCAGACGAGATCTGATCAAACTAGTTCGGTCGGTGCAGACCAAAAACTTTTAGTCCAATTAAAAACATGTATAGTGCTATTATAATTCAAGTCACACTTTACTGGGTTTCTTGTTGTATTTGGTGTTTTTAGTTTTGATTTCAGCAAAATAGAACTCGACACCGACTTTGGAGAATGTTGTCTGATGATTTGGGAAAAAATGAGAGGATTTATTGGGAGACAAGTGTTAAACGGGGTCCATCATGTTCAAGAATGCCAATAGCAGAAAAGATTTGGACATAAATTGTACAATGAAAAGAATTTCAAATTATTAAAACATGTACACGGTTGTGCACACGTCGTGTGCACTACCATGTGGAAAGAGAAAGATATTTGATTGTCGCTAGCCGGTGCACACAGTCGCACACAGAGTCGTGTGGAAGGTGAACACAGACACACACACTCAACTTTCCTAGTTTGAATATATTTGGATGTTGTTCAAATTGAATATAATAGTATTTGTATTTGAAAACTATTCAAATCAAAAAACCAATTTGTACTTGTATTCATATTCTATTTATTCGAATTGGAATATAAATTTTTGAATTCGAATCATGAATGAAATCAAGATTGTTTGATTCGTTGGAAACCCTAATGCTATCTAGTATTGTGAGGGACTCAAGGAGACAATTAAGGTCTCCTACTATTTAATTTAACGGCACCACTGAAGAGAGTGTAAGTATCAACATTGTGACCAACGAGAATTAGGGTCTCTGCATAGCTATGAATGCAAGGAAGGGTGTCCGGCCAATTTTAGTCACTCGATCAAAAACTAATGGTCCGAATACATACGTCCATTTAAAGCACAAATCTCGATGCGCCTTTCATCCACGCCGCTCACATGAGAAAGACATCTCTACTGTATGATAGAAAATCTCAATTCATTGCCAACGAGGGTGCTTGCACGAGGCACATGTGTGCACTATGATCCGGAACCCCTACTGACCAGGGGTGCTACTATATATTTGGCGCAACCATCAATTACGAGTGCTACTCTCCGAAAACACCCCCTCCGTCCTCGGAGTTAGTAGTACGTTTATTGGGATGCGGTCACTATGGATGTTTTTCTTTGTAATATAAGAAATTTTCCTAGATAGCAGTAAAAACGTTTGTGAATTTAAAAATAAGAATATTCTCTAAATAAAAGTAATTATTGTCATATTTTGGCATTGTCGGGCTTTAAGCATGATAGTAGTTCTCAAGCTTGAGAGTAATAAGTAATAACTAGTTCGTACTTTTTAAACAATGAAAAATTATAGTACTCTTGTTTTGAAATATCAAAACATTTTTACTCATTTTTCGAGAACATTCCCTTATAATATTCATAAGTTACAATCAAAATCAGTGAAACTTGTTGTAAATCATAACTTGACAAGGTAATTTTTGCGTGGTTTATAAAAAATTGTATCACTGTCCTCGTCCCAATATTATTTCACATTTTGACTTTGCACCTAAATTAAGAAAATGAAAATTAAGTGATTAAATTAAAAATTGCACATAAGAGAGGATGATATAAATCATGAGTTTTTTTATAGAAAGAAATTAAGTTTATTTTGACACGATTAAAAAGGTAAATTTGGGAAAGAGCGAGGATTTCCGAAGGAAATTTCATTGCCTTCTTTGCTTAACAGATTTTCCCGAAAAGCCGACAAAAAATATACATATACACATACGGAGTAATTCGGTACCGTACCACACTACTAAACATAGCCAATGTACAGCGTGACTAAAACACTTTGATGGAGAATCCAATTTTAAAACAATTGTTACATACAATTGGTGATGTTCTAATCCCTACCAGCTGGCTGTCTTCTTAATTAGCTTGGAATTGGCTATACTTTTAAGTAATTCATTCATTCATGGCTTCATTGGCTTGTTAAGCTCTCCTCTGTAAGCTCTGCCCGGCGGCCGATGGGAGTTTCCTGCTCTTCTGTTTAATTTGCATCAAAAGATAAAACATGCTTAATTTTCTGTTTGCAAAATGTAATAATAATCAATTAAAACACTACATGTTTCTATATGTGTATATAAACATGTGATGCATTTCATACTAATTTGGTATCGGTTAAGGTACTCTTCAAACTAATAATTCATATATTACAAATAAATATGGAGTAGTTAAATTGTTAAAGCATAACTTGTCTAAATACATAGACACTTAGATTATGGGTGTTTCTACCTGCTCTTTCAAATTGTTTCTATTATTTCAGGAAACAGAAGCCGAAGAGTTTGAGTGAAAGTACAGAACTACTTGTAAGTACTCCAAATTGCTCGTAGAAGCAATTTTTGAGAAACTTGGGGGGGCTAGTTTTTGAAATTTTGATTTTCATTTTACTTTCTACTTTTAATAAAGAAGCAAGAAAGCAGGCAGAATCAATTCCAAAGATCACTGTGTAACTGCGCAATTAACTTGATGTTCCATCATCATCTTAATTAGTACGGAGTGTAGATTATTGTGTATTTGTGCCAATAATATATGTTGAAGCCTTGTGCCCTTATTGGGTGTAGATTATTGAATGAGAAGGCGTGACTATAAAGTTAGTAGTCGAGAAAAGCGAAAGGAGAAAAAAAAAGAGGACATGAAAAGCATATAAAGGGCCTAGTAAATGCAGAGATAACAAAAAATGAAAGGTTAAATGAAGACTGCTTTTTTTTCGTATTCCTCCTGTTCATGCATTCACTTAAAGTTATGCTTCATAAACCAATGAAAGCTTGCTTGGATATATATTCAAAGAATGAAAAAAACGTTTGCTTCAAAAGTCCAGTGGGCCCCGCCTGCCCAATGGGAATGTTAATCAAATTTATAAATTTGATGTTGAATTTGATAATAAAACAACACATAAAATCATGAGTTACTTCTCCTATCAAGTTGACATTTTAGATGAAATCCAATGTCTTAACATTTGAATCAAGATACTATTAACTACAACTGCGGGTGACACAATCACATGTAACAATATGAAAACGTAACAACGTCATGATAGGAAGACCATAAAACCAAATCCAATCAATTAACAAAGCCCCTTGAACATAGCATGATTGCAGGAAGATTTTATACCAAAATATGATAAGGACTATAACAAATAAAGAATGCAATATAAGTACCTATTATGAATAGGGTCCGGTCCATTTGGAACTTTCCTTTTACTCATGAAGTTGAGATCTGCATGAACACTACTAGTTACTTCAAGCTTCTTACCATCATCCATTTTCATCCTTCTTCCTCTTCCTCCACCTCTACGCACGTGATCAGAATGTGTCGTTCTTGTTCTTGTCGTAATCGTTGTCGTAGAGGCCTCGTTATGTAAAACTCCAACCAGCAATAACCAAGTAAGTCCTAGCAAAACTATTGAACCATAAAAGGAAACCTTCCGAGACTTCTCACACCTACTACTACTACCCATAATTTTTTATAGTAATAATTCTCTATTCCTCTATGACTATCTATATATGTATGGTGTTATCTTTGAAAAAGATACTACTGTAGTATAGTGTAGTAGTTAGTAGACGAAGATGGAATAGAGAATTAGTACACTGAATATGGACTAAAGGAAGGCAAAAACAAGGTAGCCAATATTATTAATTTAGCAAGCTAGACATGCACGGGCTTGCTATAGGTAGGTGCTTCATGGTTACGTTGGTGTCCTTCAATTTATAGGTGAGAGTACTTGATTCTACCACTTTTCGCGAACATAAGTATAAGATTATATACGACCTTTAGTTTTAGGATATCTTTGGATAGAGTGTGTTGGTTTTTTTTTTTAATTTTAAGTGAAGGTCGGCTTTTGAGGTTTAGTATTTTTCTTAGGTTCAAAATTGAATACGACTTAGCTTAGAGATCACTTGATAATTTATATTTCCGACTTATAAGTCTTATCAATTAATTTATTTTATCAAACATGTAATTAAGATTGATCATCTTTCTGGTTGCATGAATTGAATTTGCTAAATTAAAGAGACAATTATAGCTATTTTCACATAGCTTTTTATTTATTTATTTATTTATTTATTAAGATTCTTTAAATATAACTTCTTCACAGTTCGACACATTCAACTAATTCAGCCGTTACAGACTTTTAATTTGAATTTCACCAATTTGAACCGATCCAGTCGATCCTAGAGTTACAAAATAGCACTTTTTTTTTTGAAAGAACAAAATTAGCTCTTAAATAGTGTCTTAGATGATGCCCATTTGTTTTAGATGATACCAATTTGTATATATCAACACACAAAGTTATAAGCCTTCCAAAACTCTCCCATAACTGACCCTAGGTGATTAAATATTTTTAAGAAAATCATTATATAATACTACCGTGAAAAATACATTTGATCTATAGAGTAATTTCATGATATTCTTGAATAGGTTATGCTTTGAATAAACCCTTTTTCCTATCCCACAAATTAAAGAGGTTTCAATTCTATTAAAAATTACTACCTCCGTCCCCCAAAACTTTAGTATTTTTTAAAAAAAAATTGAACCATGATTAGAGTAATACTATGGATGTTATACATTTTATACTTTTATAAAAGTACTTTTAACAAAAAACGTTTTCATATAATTTTTATATTATAAATAATTTCCGATAAAAAGATATAGTTTGTCAAAATTTTGAAAATGACAAAGTTTTTTGGGACAGAAGTACCTTTTATTATGATTTTTTCGATCAAACAAAAAACTTTATTATGATATGGAATCCATCTATGTTCAATTCATTACTACGCATTATATAATAATTTAATTTATACACATACACACTACTCCGTAATAAAATGATATTCATTATTCTCTATAATATTTATTAAATGAATAAATAATGAGCAACTTCACATTATAAGTTACTCCGTAATTCAGACGAAGTACTACATATTTTGGAGAAAAATTAATACGTAGTACTACGTAGTTACTTTAGGGATAGAGGCACTATAGAAATAAAATCTTTTTGAAAATTGAAGTTCAAAAGTGACAATGTGACATGAGAGAACATATATATTACTTTTATACTTGATAGTCTGACAAAGCCGAGCCATCAACTCTTGGCAAAATTGACACCAATAATCTTTATTTTTAGCCATTTTACAAAAATAATCTCTACTGAAAAAGTTCACAACAATAATCCCAACAAGGTAGTTGTTTCACAAAATAAACCGGAAGTTAACGGTGTTAACTTTTCCGTTACTTTTTTTTTAAATTTAAAACAAAATGAAGCAAATATATATAAGAACATTAATAATATTATGTTTTTGTTTAGTCTTACTTTTACTATAAATTAAACTTAATAATATCAATTTTTTTGTAAAATATAATAAAAATATTTGAAAACAGACTTGTATTCATTTTAGTACGTAGTTATGTTTAATATAGAAGTACTAAAATTACTTTTAAATCTTTATTGCAATGAAATAAAAATGAATATAAACAAAATATTTCTATTACATTTTATGAAAAATAATGATTGTTAAATTTCATTCATAATAAAATTAAATACAAGGACAAATATACGAAGTATATAATATTCTTAATTTTTGTACATATTTTCGCTTTACTATATTTAAAAAGATAAAAAAAAACTAACAGAAAAGTTAACACCGTTATCTCCGGTTTATTTATGTGAAAGAGTTGAGTAGTTTGGATTATTGTTGTAAACTTTTCTGGTAAGGATTATTTTTGTAAAATGCATAAAAGTAAGGATTATTTACATCAATTTCGCCGTGAAAATATGAGTATTTCTTTGGTTTTGATGTGCATATTTTAAGTTTTCTTTAAATATTACTAATAAAAAGATTATGAAAAAAATGTGATTTAAAAATAATTAGTGACTATGATTGTTGTGACTGCACCGCTTTTCCAAAACTAATATTTGTGCATCTTTTTATTTTTAATTCATACAATGTCAACCTTTTTACAAAATTTTTGTTTTCTCAAAATAAGTAGTCAAAGTAGAGCGATGACATAAGTTGCAACCAAATAAGTGACACAACTAAACGAACACTTCATTCATTCTCTCTTAATTGCAACAGGTTCATTTTTCACATTTATCAGTACACAACTTTGATCATTAAAATATTTCATTTCTAGTTTTGTGAATAGTACAAAACTCACTAATATTGCAATTAAAAAAAGAAGAGGAATACTATAAACACAAATTGCTCTAATCATGAGTAGAGATATTAAGGTTTTCTAAAACAAGAGTACTATATTTTCCCAATGTTATACGGAGTAATAGTTATTGTCATTAATAGTACAAACTATGACATTACTACTATTACATGGATGCCTGATAATGTCAATTATGATAAGAGCATCTCCAATGCTATAATGTGCACGGTGCACATGTGGCATAAGAGAGATAGACACAAAAAATTGAATTTATGACATTTCTCTCTCATTCTTTCCACGGTTTTATGTCTTTTTGGTAAGTTTTCCTCTGCAATGTCAAAAACTTACCAAAATAATATATGATCCTTCAAATAAGGAGAGAGATATTCAATTTATTATTTTTTTATTGGCTACTCTCATGCCACGTATGCACCATTCACGTTTTAGCATTGGAGATGCTCTTATATTATTTCAGAACAATGGACCCGGGTCGGGCCAAGGCCCGGTCGGGCCTCGGGTTTATTAGAGGTAGGCTCAGGACCGGCCCGTGCTATAGCCGGTGCCGGTTCGGGCCGGGTCACCCGCCCGGGTCACGGGTCGGGCCACCCACTGGGCCGGGCCGGGTCATGTTTAATTTTTTTTAATTATAGTTTAGACAAATTCTTATTAAAAACAAAGTTCAAGTGCATTTATTTGAAATAGGAACTACATTTGAGAATTGAGAAAAAAAATAACAATATGAAATACATTTTCTAATAAATATCAATTGGGATTTCCGCCACCGTTGGTTGTTGTTTTGCCTTTGTCACAGGACTTCATATTTTTTATTGGCATCCCGTATCCGTGTGAACGCCCCAAGCTACACTCTTTCTTGCACCACTTGCAAGTTGCCCACCACAGTCCGGTCTTCAGGTCCTTCCACTTATCAAAATTGTTTTGCATAAGAGAAGATTTACTTTCCATCTTTAAAATAGTAGATGTATAAGTAGGAATGTAGGATAATAAGAGAAGATGAAGATGGAGAAGAGTTGGAGAAGAGGTGTAGAAAATGTTAAAAAATAGATGTATTTATAGAATTTTTTGAACCCCACTCCCCACACCACCACCACCGGGACCCCCCTGCCCCCCACCCAAAGCCCCAACGGCTATATAGCCGTTTGGGAGCTATTTTTTTTTTAATTTTTTTTAAATATTTTTTAATTGAAAATTATACATATTGTAAAATAAGTTTGCAAAAAAAATTACAAAAAAATAGTAACACGCCCATCAAAGTTTGCAAAAAAAAAATTTGTAACCTTGCCTTTTCCGCACCATAAAGCCTTATAATTTCTTTCTTAACAGTTTTGCGACTATAACCTCTAAATTGAGGATTTAAACTACCGCATGCACAATCTCTTAAAGCAAGACTTTCAGAAAACATATAAGGCAAATTTTCTTCACAAATTAAGTTAGCCATACGAGTCAAATTTTGTGCATCATTGTATGAGAAATTACCAAAAGGTTGAGAATTTGCAAACCTCGATATTTGAGTTTGCTTCTCCGTTCTGCCGCCTAATTTTGCATACTCCACGGGGTGCTTTGCCTTAAGATGCCTTGCGGCGGATCCATATCCGCCGGAGGTCCCCAAGCTATAATTTTTGTTGCACCACTTGCAAGTTGCGTGCCAATACCCGGTTTGTGCGTCCTTCCACTTATCAAAATTATTCTTCATTAGTTCAGATTTACTTTTTTTTATTACCGGTGGCGGTTTGGGATGAGGCCGGCTCGTCGCCGTCGTGGCTGCCGCCACCCTCCTCCTTGGCCGTCTCCGGTTCCATTTCCTCCGCATCTTCATCCTCAAGCTCATCTTTGTCAATGGTCGTCAGGATTTGTTGTTGTTGGAGAAAGCGGTTATTATGTCGGCCCAATTCTTGTTGTAGTTGTTCTTCGGACATCACATCTCCATCCCTCCTTTGGTAACCCGTTTCAAAATCATCTCGGCTTTGAGAAGAAGAGCCGGCAAGTTCTTTACCTTTGCGGGATTTCTTCCTCCCAATCTCGTTCCTTCGGTTGCGCTCGAGGTTACCCAAATCAACCGAATATCTACCACCTTCCATCTTAAAAATGTAACAAATATTAATTTGCAATAAATATTTTAAATACTTCAAACTAATGCAAGTGATGACTACAAAAGTAATGCAAGTAATTAAAACTATTTTAATTAATACTTCAAACTAATTTAGTGAAAACTACTTTAATAAAATGTGAAGTACTTTAATTAAGAAGTGAATTAAAGTGACTCTAAAATACAAATTAAAATTCGAACCAATCAATAGTATTTTTTAATAAATACTTAAAACTAACAAATGTGACTTTAACTAAAATGTGAGTAATTAAATTATAGCAACTTTTCAAGTACTTTAATTTAGTGAAAACTACTTTAATAAAATGCTAAGTACTTTAATAAAATGATTGAACTACTCTTTTTTCGTTCAAATATAAATTCAAACTATTATAATGTGAGTTTAACTATAATGACAATTAACTAGTTTTTTAAAGTAGAGTTGTTTTAGCAATTAATGGGA